GTCCATCAGGGCGGCTATGTCCACCATGGCCCGGCGGATGTTCGTCCCAAAGCGCTTGGAGTCCTGGGGGGGGGGGTGGAGAAAAGGGCCATCGGTCAAGGCAGGAGGGGCAGCACCTGAAGGGTGCCGAGGCTCGCTGGCCGAGGGGCCTCCTGGGGTGGCTCTTCCTAAGGGCCGGGCAGTGGCCGCCCTCTGCCCTTCTGCGGGCACACTCACCGTCTCAGGGCTGGAGAACTTGCTGGAAACGTGAAAGGTGATCAGGTTCTCCCCGGCAATGATGTAGGAGACCCCGTAGCCATCGTCAGCCACCTGCAGGAGGGGGGGGGGGAGACCGGAGGACCCACCGCTGGGCATGAGGGGTGTAGGAGGAACCTTGGTGTGCCTTGCCAGGGTCCTCCCCTCCCCTGGCCCCTCCCCCTGGCTCTTCTGGCCTGCACCTCGCCATCTCCCCAAGGGGGCACAGCCTCATCCTGCCCCGTCTTCCAAAGCTGCCTCCTTTGCATGGGGGGGGCAAGGGGGGCGCTGTCCCTGGGCAAAGGCCTGCCCACCCCACCAGAAGGTGGCAACGCTGGGCAGGTATCGGCTCATCCCCAAAGCCAAGAAGGGGCCAGGGCCTCCACTCCCGGGTGAGAGACCCCCATGACTGGGTGGGGGGAGTGGGGAAGTGGGCCGAGCATGTGGGGCACCTCTAGGGAAAAGCCCCTTGGCACCTCCCTCACTTCCGCCAGCCTCGGTGCCACCAACCCCTCCTCCCCAGGGGGCACCCAGCGACCTGGGCGTCTCCCTCCGCCCAGCCTTGGTCCCTTCCACGCCTCCCCCCTCCCCCACTCACCGGCCCAAAGCCCCCGCCGGAGGAGATGAAGTCTGGGTGGGCCTCCAGGCTGAACATCCTGATCTGCTGCTGGGGGGTCTGGCTGGTGGAGAGGCGCCAGGGCTCGGACAGCACCTGGGGGGGGCGAGAGGGGGGGTCAGCCCGCTTCTCTTCCCTCTCCAGCCACAGCCCCACAGGGCGGCCACCCGCTCAGGCTGCCCTCAAGGCAGGGGGGGAAGGGGCAGGTGAGCCCCTCCCCAAAGCCTGCCCCCCCC